GCAGGCAGCTCAGAGCTGCAGTTACAGCCGTGTGGGGCGTGGGAGAGGGTGAGGGGTGTGTATGTGTTTCTGTCTCTCTCACTCTCTCTACTGGATCAACCGGGCCCAGCCCAGGTGCTAGACTCAAACTCTGTGGCTCTGACCGCAGACCGTGGCTACCAATTATCGACTGCCATCAGCAGAAATCAGGAATTTTGTGGCAGGAAGCCGGCGTGTCGCCGAGCAGGGAACGGTGTAGGGTCTCCAGTCCTGAGACCGGCTGAACACCTGGCGTTGTTGCGCGACATATATCAACGGTTAGGCTGCAATTCCTGGGTCTGGCCTCACCCCCGGGCAGGTCGGACACACAGGCGAGCAGAACGCATCCTGCTCTATTACGGTCAACAATCTTTTAAACAGGCAAATAGCAAACCAGACAAGGCAGAAATGGGGGGGAATCTGCAAATCTCAACACATGGTTCTTCCCTTGATCTCTGCTGGAAGCTCTCAGAGTTGAAGAAATGGAGAGGGCGCTTACCGGGGCAGCACACGCAGGACAGCGGCGCTCGGCGCTCGCTCACGGTGCTCGGCGGGAGATCCAGCCCCCGGGACGTCCCGCACGCCGGGAGCCAGGCTGCGGGCTGTCCTCTCCGTGTCTGTCTGACGGAGCAGCTGGCACCGGAGCTTGCAGCTGAGGTCCGCGCTGGACGGGGGCCATCCCGGCAGGTCAGGAAATGCAGGTTTTCTGTCCCTGCACTGCTCTCTCTTCCCTTCTCAGCTCCCCCCGCTCCTTCCCTCCCTCCCTCTCTCACATCATTATTTCTCAATGTATGGCAGCACACAGATACCACAGAGAGCGCTTTAAAGTCGGGACTCTCACTCTTACTGCGCAGTTTTAGTTGAGAAGGCTCAGAAACTAGAGAGAAGAAACCCCAGGACAGGAGGACAGGCAGTCCAACGTCAGGCAGAGACACGTCTCAGCAGGGCGCTTTCCCCTGGCTCATCTTGTGCAAGCGCAGGCTCTTTCCCCAGGGTCTCCACGGCTGGTTTCCTGTGTGTAAATCACCTCCTGTGCATGCTGCTGCCTGAGGCTGTCTGCGTGGAGAGATTTCAGGGCAGGCTGTGTGCTTGTCATAGCTCTCAGAAAAGATCACGAGGTGGCCACAGTGGAAAGGGCAGTGCGCCACGGCCATCCTGCCAGGAACCCAGCCTCAGGCCCTGCCTGTGCCGAGAATAACTTTTGTTTTTCCTTATTTAGGGTAAATGGGAATGACATGTCAGCCATAACAATAGTTTTGGCTGTAGGAGGAGTTGTCAAAGCAAAACCAAACTCTGTTGGTTACTACCAGCATTAGAAATGAGGACAGTTACGTCAGCAGCCAGTCCCTGCTGCCAGCCAGCACGTCACCTGGGGCATGGCAGCAGGGACCAATGCAATGTCACTGCCAGGTCCTTGGGTCAGCCAGAAGACATCACTCTCTGTGTTCCAATTATTGGGGGTGGGAGAAGGAAAGAAACAATCACCAAGGAGACTTCTCAGAGGTTTCATGTGGATAAAAGGAACGGAATTCATCAAGAATTGAGTAGTTGTATACATTTGCATGGGTGAATGAAGACGGCATGACGATTCTTGAGAAACTTCAAATGAAAAGTGTAGCTCCTCTCCCCTGTGTAATCCTTTTCCCTGCTGTTTTTCTCAGAGTCACACTGCTGGGTGAATGAAGAGGGAGATATGGGTGGGTAGCTCCCTCCAGCACCTGGT